CACCCTAATAGTTGTGCCAGAAACCCCATCCAAGGACTGAGGAATCTGGATGCAGACATCCATGGCTAGACCCCCGGGTGGTGCGCTGGGAGTCTAATTAGCGAGAAAGAGGAGGGTTTATATGAGCGAGAATTGTTGAAACCAAGGTTGGATAAAGCACAGGGACAAATAGCCAAACAAATGGAAACACATGAACTATGAACCAAAGGCTGAGGGTCCCCCAACTAGATCAGGCCCTCTGAATAGATGAGACAGTTGATTGCCTTGATCTGTTTGTGAGGCAACTAGGCAGTGGTACCAGGTCCTAGGCTCATTGCATGAGTTGGATGTTTGAAACTGGGGACTTATGCAGGGACGCTTAGCTCAAACTGGGAGGAGGGGACTGGACCTGCCTGGACTGAGTATACCAGGTTGATCTCAGTCCTCGGGGGAGGCTTTGCCCTGGAGGAGGTGGGAATGGGGGGTTGGGGGGGAAGAGGAGGGGGGCAGGAAGGGGGAGAACAAGGGAATCTGTGGCTGATATGTAGAACTGAATGGTATTGTAAAATAAAATAAAATTAAATAAAAAAAAAAAGACTGTGCTGTGTTTAACTGCAAAACCAACAATCCACAGGTAGATGGTGTCTACCAAAGGCCAGCTACAGCTCTGGTCTTCCAAGGGTGAACATAGCTCCACAACACAGAGGTTTGTTTAGGATGTTCTAACAAAGAAAATGGTATGGAAATGATACCATGATTATTTATGCTTTTAAGTGACTATTAGAGTCTGCATGGAGATGGCCACAGTCTGTCACAGTGTCACACAATCACATGTTACCTTGGATACAAGGCTGGCTCTGTATGCTGCTAGTTGCTTCAGGTACTCCTTCTTTGCAGCCTCGGTTTTCTTCTTATAGACCTGTGACAGCAGCAGAAAGTCTTAAATTAGACCAGGCATTTGCTTTTGTTTTGAGGGACAGACAATACAGAATGGTAATTGTACACACATACAGATAATTTTATAATAATATATAGCTCCCAAAGAGTGTGTTTTCTTCCTGAAACAGGTTTGAAAGAAGGAGAATAGACTGTAAGAAAAGAATCAACAATTGTAAAGTTTTGCATTTTTCAGAATGTGTATGAAAAGATCTGTGAGCACAGAAATAAATGGCAGCATTGATGAAGGCTTCCTGAGGAGCCTCGCCCAGGAATAAGACACTCATATTTATACAGCCAGCAGTAATTCAACAACATAGTAATATTCTAACTTTTGTGCTCCATGCCAAACACAAAGCCGAAATGGGATTCAGGGATGATGTTTCCTACTTAGTATGAAAATCAACAGACAGGTATTGGCAGCTGTGGGATCATCACAATTTTAAGAGCCTCTAAGTTATATTTCCAAGGATTTGGGAGTCAAGAGTGGCAGGCAAGGGTACAGTGGGGCTGGAATGGGATGGTGAGTGGCTAAGGACACAACCTGTCATACCACATGACATGTGCATCATGTACTTTCCAACAGGAACATGGATGACATAGATGACAGCCATGCGGACCTCATAAAAGTCATCTGCAATGAACAGATACTCAGAGGCTTGAAAACCAAAGTAAAAGCAGTGGAAACTGAGACCTGAGAAGTGACCAGCCAGAGGTTACTGTGCTTTACTTAAACAGAGGATACACTGGAATATAAAAGAGTTCATCTTCTTCCCTGAGGCTGAGTTTTAAAGGTTCCGAAGTTCTGCAGTCTTTAAAAATCAGCCTAAATGAACAAAATCCTCTTCAACATTTATTGTGGAAATGGAAATGTGTCCCCCCCCTGCTGTGACTGTTAGCCAGACTCTGGTTAATATTGAAAAGTGGTGTAGAATCTGTTGGGGCAGTTAAATAAGAATATGCCTAAGGCCAAGGAGCCTGCAGTAGAGGGCAACATTTGCTTTCTAGAGACAGGGGTTTGCTGTGCCGGACTCTGAAATTTGACATGTGAGAAGTATTATTTACTCATGAATATTGTAACTCCAGCAGAACATTTTGCCCAGGTAAACAAATAACTACACTTGCAGCCGGATTGTAACAAGACCTACAAAATAAATGTGATTTTTCCCCTTAAAAAGAAGGAGGGGAAGCCGGGCGGTGGTGGCGCACGCCTTTAATCCCAGCACTCGGGAGGCAGAGGCAGGTGGATCTTTGTGAGTTCGAGGCCAGCCTGGGCTACCAAGTGAGTTCCAGGAAAGGCGCAAAGCTACACAGAGAAACCCTGTCTCGAAAAACAAAAAAAAAAAAAAAAAAAAAAAGAAGGAGGGGAAGCCTGCAGCTTTGACTTTCCCATCTACAATTTTACATAGAAAAACTAATTAAAGCAAAGATGCATTAATTAGTGCAATATTATCATTTGGTCATCCCACTGTCTTTACTAAATAAGAAACCAAAGAAGAGCAGAAATCCTATTTAGGAGTTTTCTATTGTTTGTAATAAAATAGTTAATGTGTCTTTTGATGGACGCACAGGAGTGTTATAGATTTACAGGACTATTGCAGAATTCAAATCCAGAATCTTCTGCCGAAATTCACATGTGACTACAAATGCCTGCTAGAGTAAAGCATTTGAACATTATGACCCTACTTGATCCAGCCACATTTAGAAACAGAGTACTTCTGATCTTTATTGATTGATTCCTTTTCTTTTCTGCTAGAGATTCCTCCTACTAGTTTTTCCTTAAGCCCGTTTCTCCATGACATAATTTGTAAATAATGGCTTTAAGCACACTCTTTACTCTTATTACCTTAAAGTGGTTCTGAGGGGGCTGGAGTGATAGCTCCGTGGTAAGAGTGTTTGCATACTAGCATGAGGGCTTGCTTTTGAACCTCCAGACTCTGTGAATCTCTCAGCATGTCTGTGCATGCCTGTGACCTCAGCATCATGGGGCAGAGACAGGGAGATCCTGACAGCAGAGTTTGCTGGCCAACAGGCCTCACAGAAATGGCAAGCTTCCTATTCAGAAAGAGACCTTGTCTCAAGGCAATAAGGCAGACAGCAATAAAGGAAGAGGTACAGAGTCCTTTTCTGATTTTTACATGCATGCATAGGGGCATATGTGCCTACACACTCAAGTACAGGCACGAAACACACACACACACACACACACACACACACACACACACAAAATGGTTTTGAGAGCTATTTCCTCCCATACATACAGACATCTTAGAAACTTTGAGGAAAACATTTAGTAGACAAATCTTTGAAACTTCCAAGTGTCCTAAATAATTATATCATTATTTAAATTAATATGCTATACTCTGTGTCCCATTAGCTAATTAGCATTCATTTAGCTTTTAGAGAGAATTATAACATATGTTGGTCTCTAGCCCTGCCCAAAGTATTGTTTCCTAAGTAGCAAAGATAAGGTGGCATGATTCTAGCATTTCCTGTCTTTGTTTCATTTGGTTTCTATTGGAACCACAACAGTGTAAGCATCCAGCTAAAATCACACAAAGTGTTAACATTCCTGCAATGTGTTGATTAACAACTCGGACAGAGAGGTGTGTAACTCCCCCATTTTAGGCTGAACATACGGCGTGGTTCTACCCAGGATCGATGCTGTTATGGGATACCTGACTAGCATTCAGAGATCCCTGTTTCACAAATGGCTCCCCAGTGGCTATTGATGATGGGCTATGTTGGGATCACTGTGTAAGTGCCCAAACACCACTTTAGGGACATGTAAGCTCATCACTTCACATTATGTGGATTGATGGGTCCACATGCTCCCAAATAGCTGCAGATGTTCAGAGGGAGAATTCAAAGGGGGGTCATTTCAGGAAGTGTATTTCTATAATTGTGTTTAAGGGAGGGTAGCCCAGATCAGAGCGAAAATCTGAGGTTGTCTACCCAGTAATAATTAGACCCTCCACCTTTGAGAACTGCTTAATGGTTCCAATACTACACACTGTGTGTGCCTCTCTGATGCTGCTCTCTAAAACTGGACTAGGGTGCTGTTTGAATCCTATATTAATGGAAATGTCCAAAGACCTCAAACCCGAGAGAATGATATTCATATATAAGAATTCCACATGTAAAGGAAGTAGGGGAAATTCTTACTTTAGAACAGAAATTTCAAGATAACTGGTAAAAAGTTCCTAAAAGATGTTTCAAAACTTCCAAGTTATGGATGGAGAAAGCCCTTCATTTGCAGAAACCAAAGGGGTTGTGGGATTGCATTCAGCAGTGAGCAATCACCTCAGTGATCAAATGCACAGGCCTGACCTGTGAGGATGGATCTGATTTATGTCAAAGTCAAGTTTGGGAAAGACACAGTTTCTCTCAGGAAAGACAAATATTTTAAAGGTATGTGATTCATACAGTAAATATTAGTGTTCTGCTGAGCTACAAAATGGCTTCCAAATGGGCCACAGCTGTTTGAAATAAAGTCCAAAGTTGGCCAGAAGTAGATTTAAAAATCATAATACATCATTTATCATTTCCCCAACTCATCCAAACACTTTTGAATTCATCCTGCCTTAACGTAGTTATATGCTGTGGTTTGTTATTCCAAGAAAGCCACCATTTCCTATCTAAGGCTTGCATCTTGTTGGTTAAACTAAAACATATATAACAGCTAACCCAAAACACACATAGATAGACATCAGATAGCAGTTCTGGAGAACCCAGATCCTGTTCACATGATTCTGTGACTCACCAAGTGCTCTAAATACCACTGAGTATGTGTGTTTTTATAGGCTGATAATCCCTAATTAAAATCAGCAGTCCAATGTCAGTGAATATGACACTCTTAAACAGAAAAAATTTTTTATGCAATCTGTCAGTTCACTCTTGCATTCTTCTTCCACAAACAATCCTCCCAGCTAATGGAGAAAAGCAAAATCTTATAAATACCAGCTAATTCCCTCTTCCTTCCTTCTTTCTGGCTCGGGCTCATAATCGCTAGTTAGTTTTCTTCAACAGTTGTTACAGTCATAGAAGAAAAGGTACAAAGTCCTTCTCACTTTGAATTCTACTCAAACCCCATTTAAAACTGACAAGGTGTTTTCCTTTTTGGATAAGTACAAATGTCTTTTTTTTCCACTACCATTTTTATTTATAGAAAATGCTTAGCAATGAATTATGTATGAATAAGAATAACTTTATCACAATCTCAGAGGCACAGTTCAGAAACTTCTTGTGCATACCCCCTTTCAGGGATGCCATTGTTAAGGTCAGTCGGAGAAAATGCATCAGTCCTTGGCCCTTAAATGTGGTTACGTATCCATCTTGTCTAAATTGCTTAAATTTTCTTAAGGATGCCTAACTGGAAAGACTTAAGGTAGTGTTCAGAGGATCGAAAAAAATTACAGGATATGACAAAAATCTTGCTATTGATTCCTTCTGAAGATGGTGTGATACAACTGAAGGGTCTCGGCCATGTTGATGCCACCTGTTCCTGGCTGGTACGTATCAGAAACAGGCAGTTTGGCTTTAGAGATGGCGATAAAACATATCTGCTGATGTATCCAATGAAGACGACTAGCTGAGTATCATGTTGTTTAGTTACTCCTAATCAATAGCCTGGCTCCTGTGTGCCTAATGTATTGTGAAACATGAAGGGCACAGAAACAAAACAGCATTTGAATTTATGCGTTGGTTACTTATGTCTTGTTGTTGTTGTGATCAGGCACTTTATTTTATATATCATCTTTAGTTCCTCCAACAAGAATGTTGCCTCGGTATTATTTTACAGAACAGGAAACACAGACACACAGACACACAGACAGACAGACACACACACACACACAAAAAAAACCAAAAAAACAAAAACAAGAACAAAAAACAAACAAACAAAAAAAAAAAACCCAGTGAAATATGGCAGAATCAGGAGTGACAAAGTAATCTGGTGGCAGGCATCTGTGTTTGCTCACTGTC